CTCTCATCCAGACGTGCTGCTGACTTCCCCGCCCCACCCCACCCCGACCTTCTACCTAGACAGACTCCTTGCTTTTCAGTTTGGAATCTTTCTTCCATTTCATCCTCCGATTTTGAAACCAGATTTTGATCTGCCTCTCATTCAAACACAGGTTGTTGGCGATCTCTATGCGCCTCCGACGGGTGAGATAGCGGTTAAAGTGGAATTCTTTTTCTAGCTCCAGAGTCTGATAGCGAGTGTAGCTGGTCCTAGAACGTTTGCCATCGGCTTCTGGAAAAGAACAAGATACCGGATGAGGACGAGGGGTGGGAAAGAGTCACGTTAAGCAGGGCAGGCAATGCCAAGGAAGGGAGAAACCAAATGTGCTTAAAGGAAGCAAGAGGAAGGGGACGGGGGTGGGTGGGTGGGTGGGATAGGAGGTTTGCTTGGCTCTCCCCCATAACATTGATTATATTTACTGGTAAATCGAGGGTCCCGATTGCCCATACTTTAACCAAAACTTTGGATTCCGTCTCAAGCAAGCCAGGCTCACCGTTTAAAACCCGAGAAAGTGGAGCTGAAGTGTCGGAATTAAATTCAGTGAGGTCTTTCCTTCGAAAGAAGAGAAAGTCGTGGCTTATGGGACGTGCAAAGGGTTCTTGGGGGGGGGGGTTGAGGGGGACACAACTCTAAATAACCACAAGCTCATTTTCTTCCCCAGAAAGTGTGCGCTCGAATTCAAGTTATTTCTTCCACTTAAAAATCTTCCTTCCTCCCTACTTCCTTTTCGCCCCCCCCCCATGGAATATTGCCTTTATACCCGTTTTGTTTCTATGATCCAATTATGCCGTCATAAATTTGGGCGTATATAGCCTCTAAGCCTTTTAGTGGACAGTTTTACGAGCAATTGATGCCTTAGTCGTAAAATTTACGACCCCGGTTCTCCCCCCCCCCTTGTTATTTGCCCCGTATGGCCTATAAAACCAAGGCAAACCCTGTGAAACAAAATCGAGAAGCGAAAGTTTACCGTGGCTCATGTGTAGTTTGGTCATCCACGGATAGATTTGTGGTGGCTGCTGCGGCGACTGCTGAACAGGCTGGCCGCTGGGCTGGGCTGCTTGCACCGGTTCACTCTTGATTTCCCCACTGGTTTTAGATCTATCTTCCAACGGCGTGGGGTTGTTGGTGCCACCAGCCTTCTGACTGTAAATTCCTGGGTTTAGAGGAGCCTGGTCGTCTCTGCCTAAAGTGTGCCCTGAAGATCCCATGACAGTACAGGAAGGCCGGTCAGGGTTAGATCTGGGGGTTGAAGACACGTCCACACCGTTCAGAGAGTTGGAAGCCCCAGATGAAGGGAATGTAATGCTCAGATCCAGCCCAGTATAGCAGCACCTGGAGGGCTGAACCTCAGGCAGTGATCCATAATTCCCATAACTTTGCATGGAATACGCAGGAACATTTTGATTTTGCTTATAGAAGGAATTGGCTACGTAGGAACTCATGTCAGGAATTATATTTCCCCCCCACCCAGCTTCTCTCTCTCTCTCTCTCTCTCCCTCTCTCTCTCTCTCCCTTGCTCTCTCTCTCTTACACCCCTTTGATTAGACTTGATTTGTGGCCCTTTTGAAGTTCAGGGTTTTTTGTTCTCCAAAGTGCAGAATTTATAGGTGGGGATTCTTCTTTTCTTTATTCTATGTGCGCTGCCCAAATATGGGATGTTTAAAGAGAATCACGTGACAGTGTTGGCCAGTCATAAATTTGGCTTGATGACCCCAGGAGGTTATTGATGGAAGCCCGTGCAACGTATGTGATATGTTGGTATAACGAAGCCCTGGGAAGGGGAGGAAAAAAAAAACAGGCCCCACACTCAAAACACCGAGACAATGAGTCTAGAGCGTCACCTGGTGCTAAGTTCGGGGTATGACGACTGATTCGAATTCTACCCCTTCGAATTCGACAGGCTTTGGGGGTGTGAAACAACACAAATCCTCTAAAAAGTCTTCCAGGGGATCGAAGGCAAGCGCGAGTTTGAGTTTTCCACCCCGGCGAAGCCTGGGGAAAGTTTGCCTTTGATTCAAACCGATGAGTGGGATGGACTTTATAACAACACGACCCTGCGATGATTTGTAAGCCTGTTTCCTTGGGTGTGCCACCAGGCTCTCTGGTGGGTGTCTGGCTGTGTTGCCCGGTTCTGTGTGCCCGCCAACAGAATACCCCGGTGTGAAGGATTGGGGTTGCTTGCCTGCTAGACTCTTTGCCTCAGTGCCTGGCACCTGAGCACACAGAGCAAGGTATCCGCGTTCTCCAGGATTCTGAGTGTATCCAAGAATCCCTAACACCAGATATGTGGCAGGCAAGAAAACTCAGCATCTTCCTGATGCATTTCCCCCCAATCCCACATACAGATCCGGGCATCCAACTACCCGTGTCCTGGTGGGCAGGGATGCCTCTCTCCAAAGTCTTAAGAACCTGTTCTTCTGCCCAGGGGGGCGTCAAGCAGCAAACCTTGGAACTGTAAATCTATTGCGCTAAATTCTCGTCTCTCTCTCTTTTTTGGGGGGGGGGTAAATCTGAAGATTTCACTCAGAGTATCTTTCTGAGTGGAGAGGAGTTTGTGCATCAAGCTTCCTTTGAGGTGATAAGAAAAGTGGCCTTGCGATAAATCCTCCTGTTTGGGATGAACGGATGGATGGTTCGCTTTGTTTTTCCCTTCTTCCTATCTTTGCAGAGAAACCAGCGTGGGAGAATTGTGTGTGTGTGTGTGTGAGAGAGAGAGAGAGAGAGAGGGGGGGGAGAGATAGGTAAAAGAATGTGCCATCCTTTCCCTCCTCACTGAACTGACATGCTTGCTAACTGGACCGGATGGTTCTGATGAGTTTTCTTGAAAAATAGTCCCCTCCCCCCCCATACTCAGGGAAGATGTTGGGGTGTCCTTTCTCCTTTACTTAAAATTTATTTGGTTTGTTTAGGGTGGAGTTACAAAGAATTAATTTGTCCTCCTGAAGTGGCTTCTGTTTTCTTCCCACCATGACGGGAAAAGCACCCATTTTATCTTTTCTTTTTAATCGTGCTTATGGGGTCATCTTTCACCCCTGAACAAGTTAGCTTATTTATTTGTTTATTTGTTTGTTGTTCCCATTAAGGAACAATCGGTTAAAGAAACCCTGGAAAGTTTTGGCTCAGATTTCGGAAATGTTGTTGAGTCTATTCCTCGCCTCCCCAGGACATGTGCGAGACTGGCTTTAAAAAAAAAAAAACCCCGAGAATTCTCAGCTCTGGGAGTTTTTGAGGTTCCTTGTGATGATTTCGAGAGAAAGGGATGACTCCAGTCTCCCTTGGGTTCGGACAAACGGAGGTGGGCGAAATCAACTTAATGGTGGGGTGTCAGGAGTAGTTGTGGTCTTTTCTTTTCTGTTCTTTTTTTAAACTGGGACTGGCTGATTGAATAGAACACCTGGAAGCGTAGCTAAGGCTATCCAGACATTCTGAGGCCAGAACTTCACATCCAGGCATTTGTATATGGGACTAGGATGCCTCTGACCTAAAGCCGAGCCACTGTGGAGCCCCTCCGCCACAAAGTAAGCTCGGTGGCTGGGTGGTGTATCAGGGACTTTGTCCATTGCGCTTTCTGAACTTTTCTTCCCCTCCCCCCTCCTCAATAATTCCTGCCCACCTGTTCTTAATCTCAAAATAAATTTAGAAAAGGATGCAGAGAGATTCCCCCTTTTTGTTGGCCTTTCTCTTTGATAAGGAAATCAGTGCTTTTGTGCTTAAACTGCCCTTGAGAAAACACCCTATTAAAAAAAAAAAGTTGAACTTGTGGGCCTAGGAATTTGCCGATCTGGAATCAAGTTTCTTCTGCCTACCTATGTCTGTGCCCGAACATATCTATGGTTATGCAAGAGGGAAAAGAGAGAGAGAGAGAAAGAGGTGTTAAAAGTCATCCTCAGCCTACTTAATAGAAAATAAATTATATCCGCCTATCAGCTGCCTTGCTGCGGAAATTAAACGGGATTCGATCGCGCTACGGAACACGGCGAGTCGATTTGCAAAATGCTTCTTCGGCGCGGAAGTGTCCCCCATGGAACGTCGAAAAAAATATTCCAGTAATTTTTAAAAATAATATCCAGTTTTTATTAAATACTCAACCATAGTCCTTTGGACATGACTTTTTTTATACATGATGCTAGGAAGCTTAACACAAAGGTTTGCTTTTTCCCTACTCGCTATAGAATGCCATTCACTTTACCGTTTTGACCATTACAGTGCTAAACATAAATATAAATACAGAGACCACAAATACAGCTAAAAATATTCACACAGGAACTGTCACAGTTTGTTGTATGCATCATGACTTCAGGTAGTGTTTTCAATACAATGAGTTTACTCTGGAAAGAAAGCGCTATATTTAGGCGAACGTAGACTTTTTCGAGATGGATATATGGAGGGAAGTTATTTTCCTAGGGCTAGGTGAGTCGGTGAACTGTGTTATGTTTTCTTTTCTTTTCTTTTTCCAACCCAGCTTCTTTTCCACGAATCCACATCGCCACCAGCAGCCGTTCCTTTCTTTCTTTCTTTCTTTTTAATTTTATTTTATTAGGAACCTGAAACTGCCCATAGTTCTATTGGACCTGCATGGTCGAACACAGCACTACCCCAAGGCAGCCCCCTAACACAGAACTTCTCTCCTTTGGCAAGCAAGATTCTGTCTAGGGAGGGTGAAGAAGGAATGGCAGGGGGAGTTTCTCTCACTCGTGTGTGTGTGTGTGTGTGTGTGTGTGTGTGTGTGTTTTAGGGGGAAAAACCCGGGTCACTGGGCAAGGAGGCCAGGAGCAAGGGGGACAGGAGCCTCTAAAGGGGAAAGTAAAGGAGATTTGGGAGCCTGGGGTCTGGAACCTGAGCGCTGGAAACGGAAGATGGAGGAAGGGGATTTCTATCTCCCTCACCCACCCACCCACCCTTTTTAATTTAACCCAATGTAGTGTTTGTGCCTGCTAGTAATGAGAAGGGAAAGGGAGGCAGGAGGGAGCCGTGGTAGTGGGAGGAAAGGAAGGGGACCTTTCTCTGTAATGTGCTCGTGGGGTGAGACCGGAGGGGAGGGGAAGAAAATGGCTTGGCCGAGCCGGTCTCGTTCATTCCTTCGCTTTTTCCTCCTGTGTCTCTTCTTCTCGTTTCTCTTCCTTTGCACCCAGGCTCTCGGCGGCGGCTTCTCCGGCCCCACCTCCCCCGGGTAGAGTGGAAGTCAGATTACTCTCTTTTTTCCATTTCATCCTCCGGTTTTGGAACCAGATCTTGATCTGGCGTTCGGTGAGGCACAGCGCGTTGGCAATCTCAATCCGCCGCCGCCGCGTCAAGTAGCGGTTAAAATGGAACTCCTTCTCCAGTTCCAGCGTCTGATAGCGCGAGTAGATCTGACGCCCCCTCCGCCGATCTGCTCCGTAGCCGACTCCTAGGGATTCGGAAACCAAACAAACTAAGAACGATTAGCTACGGCTTCGGCCAACAACAGGTCTATGTAGTCCATAGAAAATAAATAAAACACAAGCAACGTATTTTTTTTTTAAAGAAAACAAAACTGAAAGGAAGTCATCTAACAACCCCACCCTCCAAGCCCCCCGTCTTCCTCGTATCCCCACCCATTCCAATTTAATTCTGCTCCTTAGGCTGGCTATTCATTAAAATCTTTCAGCGCACATGGAGGGGAGGCGAACAAGAAGAGAGAAAAAGCCTCTAATTGGAAACAGGAAACAGTCCTTATTTGCAAAGATTCCGAACGTTTTGTTTTAATTATTTCGGCAATCTTTAAAAAAATAAAATCTAATTAGATCTTACTCCAATGCTGCTTTAATTACTAGGAATAGACGCTCCTTCCATACGTTCTGAAGTCGAGCTACTTCATAAAACCCCATCTCTCAACCCATTATTGGACAAGACATTTTTGCATCCCCCCCCCATGCCCTTTCTCACCTACCAGGGAAACTTCAATTTTTTTAAAAAAAATGCCCCGGTTTTATTTTCTACACCTAATCCCCCCAAATCTCAACTATTTGGGAGGATGGGGGTGAGGGCATGGGGATGGAATCAGAGCTGATTGCACTTTATTATGGATATTTTACACTCCCAAAGTCTTTTAATTAGAAAGAGCATAACAAGCCATATTTGCTTGCAACAACTTAACAAATAAAAGGCCTGTAGCGGCAACTGTGAGGAAGCTATATGATTGTTTTTATGGGGCCATAAAAAGTAGCTGAGCCTGTTCTGCTGGGGAGACGGCCATAAAGATGGTTCAGTTTATTTAATTTATCTCTGCAAGCTGTAAAACTTACCACTGTGGGAGTTCATGCGCTGCATCCACGGGTATATTTGAATGCTAGCTTTCTGTTCCTGGGACGTGCTCCTGTTTTGGTCACTTGTAAAATCCTGTGCAATAGAAGTTTGTGTATTGTGTCCCATAGAATTTTGCCTGCAGCTAGAGAGCATGTCCTTTTCTTGATAAAATGCATTCGATCCGTAATCATATGGTCCCCGACTGGAGCTAAACACAACATTATCTTGCGGTGAATAAAAAGGAGATGAATAGATCCTGTTTTGAGCGACCGCTGCTCCATAAGTTGAAAAATGCCTTACAGGGTCATAGGCAGTGGAATTGAGCGGCACGCTGGGCAGGACCTCTTGACCACTGGTGAGGTGGCAAGAGAGCGACGGGTTTGTGAAATAGGAATTCATATCTTCCCCCCTGTACCTGGCTTGTATGATTTCTTTAATATTTATTTCTGTCTCCAGTTTGTAGTCTGAACTAGATTGTTATAGGGACGGCTCCACTCCAGGACAGACAAAATGACAAAGTCAGCTGACCCGCGGGGAGCCAATAGAAAACTGGATGTCAAGACACGGAAAAATGGCTTTTGCTTGTGTTGATTCCCCAGTTGAAACTAAGTATGCATTGAAAGTAAGTCTCGAAATTCTAAATATAAAGATGGTTTAGAAGAAGAAGGGGAGGGAGAGTAAGTATGATTGGGGGGGAGGGAAGGTGGGAGAGGACTGAAGAAGGAGGGGCAAAAAAGAATAAGGGGGGGAAAGGAAAGAAAATTATAGTGCAGAACAAGCGTTGCCTTAAAAATATTAAGGAATGGAAAGGAAAAAAGAAAGGAAAAAGGAAAGGAAAGAGGAAAGGAAAGAGGAAAGGAAAGGAAAGAAGAAAGGAAAGGAAAAGAACCATAGAGAACAGAAATCAGGATATTTATTCTTTTGAGTAAATACCTTGCTTAATACCTCTAACAACTAAACAGCGCAGAAATTATAGCCATAAATCTGAAGTATGCATACAATATTAAACCATAAATTCACTTTCCCTTCATTAATTTACTATCAGTCAATAAACGTGGAATTAAATGCTAGTGTCCCCCCCCCAAAAAAAAACAATCTTGAAAAGACAGGCAGGGAAAGAAGTGACAGTTGGATAGAGACCGTATCTTCTTGGAGAGTATTCCTGGACTTTGGAATGTGAAGAACTTTTTCTGCAAGCTCCTTCTTTCATTCCTTCTGGCCCCAAAATTCAGAGCTGGCTTTATTAATCTTTACATTTAACATAATTTAATCCAGTATTACTTTGCTTCAAGGGGGGAAAAAGGGGGAAGAGGAAGAATTTGTCATTGTATGATCCTGTTTATGTTTGTAGCAACCCCCCCTCCCCCCGTCTTACATTACCTTCCCTTTCTATAGGGAACGATGTGGGTTAGAAGGAGCATCTCGTGTTTACATTTGCAAAAATAAAAGGTGGGGAGCAGAATTTATGGCTTCAGATATCTGTGGCTGATTAGAAAACTTCCCCTTGAAATATTTGCTTAGATTAGAGAGTGGACTGTATTCTACTCCTTTGGTGGATTTGCCCCGACACACTAATTGAAATGAAGACAGCTAATCTCATTTTAATTTCAATCCAGGGCCATAAATTGCCCCTTAAATGTAAAATATACCTGCTGATGTGTAAACGAAGCAAGGCTCCCTCGTCCTGCTATTGGTTTAAAAAATTCAATTAGGGCTAGGAAACCTGGGCCTGATTTCCGCGGCTTTTGTTTAGCTGCATTAAAGGGAGAATCATAATACTATATGGAAGGGTCCATAAAAAGAAACCAGACCCACCTCCGATTGAATATCTTTACATTTGCTTCCTCCCCCCCCCCAAGCCAACACTTTGAACATCCCTTGTTGGGATGAAGTAACTCTCCTTGGTGGGCTGAGAAAGAAGCAAATCCCTCCTTCTGTGATTACCCCTCGGCTCCAACAGGAACCCGGATGCCAAAGGATGCCAAAAGCGTTTATGGTCTTTTTCCTCTGTTCAACAAAGCAAAGTAATCAGAGGCAGTAGTAAAGCCATAAACCCAACCGCAACAGACAAAAAAGAAGGCAGAAGTAGAAGTATTCATTGTGTCCAGCATTAGGCGTTTCTGAAGAGCTAGCAATTTTTTTAAAAAAATAATAGTACACTTCTTGCATAAAGCCGTGGAAAGCTTTAAAAAAAATAGGAAGAGATTGGTTTAATGGGCAGGAGACTTACAGATGCCCACTACATTTCCCCCCACTTTTCCCAGCTTGCAATAGTGCCCCCCAAACTTTACATTATAGATTAGGATGTATTCTTTTAAAAAGTGGGGTGAGGGGGAGGGAAGGAAGGAAGAAGGGCCAAGATGATCCGTTTCCTACCTAGATCCACCCACCCATCTCCTAGGAGGTTTGCTTTGCAAAGCATTTTATACGGGGCATACATGGAGGAGGATGGGTAAACCCATAATCTGAAGGGATTTAGTGAAATTAATTTCAATCCAGGATTATTTGAAAAGTTCCGAGGTGGCCTGTAAACTAAATCAGTGTTCTAGGCACCCAATCCCCTGAATTGACAGAAGTAACTCCCTTTCCACTTCCTCTTTAATAAGAATTCGCCTGTGAAGACTCTTCAGTGAGTGAATTTATATTTATATTTAGAACGGTGGTCCTTTAAAAGAAAATGCTCTAGTATAAATCAGGAATCCATTAAAAGTCACAAAGCCTCCATAACTCTCCGTCCTCCCTTAATATTTTTTTTCTCTCTTATAGCAAACGCTATTTTTTTTAAAAAGGACTTCTTTTTAAAAGTGTTGTAATACTCCTAATCTTGGTTGAAAGAGCTGAGATTATGTGATGTAAACAGGTTTATGGTTGGAGGAAGGGAGGGAGGGTATAGTGGGCTATATAGGTCCTAAAGAGCTGTTTTAGAAAGACCTGGGAAAGGATAAAGGAATTTGGGTTTATTACTTTTCTAAACAGAAGAGAAAACCTCAAAGTTTGGTTGTGTTATGAGGATGATGAAAAAACAGCTGGCACAAAGAAATGTGTCACAAAACCCTTCCTCAACATTTGGTTGGATGGATTTAGGAAATGCTAAAATGCACACATGTACACAGTACAGAAGCAAGCGCACGCACACGCACACACAAAGTTCAAGATTTTAAAAACTCACATTTTGTCAGCCATGTATTTTAGTGCAAGTGAGAACTTACTGGCCTGAAATTTTACACGGGTGTCTTGGTCTCTCGGTCTGCGGATGGCTACAATGCATTTAAATCAAAGGTGGTAGGTCTTCCTTCCCACCTTCCCTGCAAACCTATGTAGCAAAATGCCTCTCTGGTCTCTTTCTATACAAATTAGTCTGCAAGCAATTGTGTCATCTCATCAGCAGAAGCAAGAACAGATGTTTTATTAAAACTGCTACACAGCAGTGAAAATATGCACAAGTCCTGGAATAGTTCTTGAATAGCAGTTGGGTCTCTCCCCTCCCCACCCCCTGGAGCTAAAGTGCCCAAAGAAAGCTGTAATAACATCTCTGACTCATAAGCTATTTTTCCCTTTTTCTCCCTTCGCCCCTCCTCCCCTAGAGTTTACCTCTATCTTGATGCTAAAGGAGAAAAATATGTCTCATTATGATTCTCTCCCAGCAATAATTGGCAAATTGATGGACTGATTTAGAGGAAAGCTTCAACAATGCACACTCCACACATGTTTCCTAGCCCAGAATAATCTCTGAAAGGAAACAAGTGTTACACCTTTGAGCTTTTCCTTCCTTCTTTTTCCTCTTGCCAGACTCTGATTTTGTGATGTGATCTTGAATGGAAATCCAGACGCATTTGTTTACTTGTCTGTTTGTGGAGCATGGAGGGGAGAGGGAGGGATGAATTCTGTGGGATGTTAATGACTGGAAGATCAGCTGTTCACGCAAGGGCGAGGGGTGGGGGGAATCCACAAATTCTCTCCTAGGCTGTGATACCTGGGTGTTGAAAATGGATTATTCCTAAATGCAGGGTTTTTTTCTGTCTGGTTCGATTTAAATATGTATATATTAATAGTTGCCTTAAGTCAAATGCGTTGGTTTACAGTTCATATGTAGGATTAGGTTGAACTTTTGTGTGGAAAATAGTATATTATTATCCCTTGATAAATAGATTAGAATCCTTCACTCCTCCCCTAAACACAAACCACGCGCACACTGATGAAGCACAGATACATACAGCCCATGAGTCTTCACTCTTGTCTATATAGAGAGATCAGTGTGGCTAGTTATGTCCCCTTTGGGTTCCTTTTATAGGTGGATGAGACGAATTAGTGCAGTAACCAGATCCAGGACTACATATCCATGTGATTTCACCAGTGCTGTAAAACCCTGTCCACATCCACGCATGTTTTACACGTCATTTCATAAGTCACACGTAGCCACGTAGGGGGGGAAAAACCCGAAATCCTAAAGGAAGATATTATGTATGCATCTCTTGGAAACAGGAAATCGATAGATAATCAGAATACCACATAAGCATATAGCATGAGATCATCCTTTATGTGGAAGTAACATGGGTTTTAAGGTGCTCTATGTGAAATGCTCAGGGCAGCATAACCCGTCTTTTTTTTCCATTCGAGCTGATCTCACCTTAGATACGTTATCTCGGCCATTTTGGACTTGACATTTATTACAGGCAAGGCTTCTTGCTTCCCAATTATTTATTTAGAGAGATTACACTGCCCCTACCAAATAAACTTCTTAATCAAATCTTGACTCTTCCCATAAATAACACAACAACAACAACAACAATGATCGGTGGATAAAAATGCCAAATTCAGACTAAACCAGTGGACTGGGTAACTAACCATAATAAAAATACGACTAATAAACCAGCAAACAACCAACATCTCTCTATTGCAGGTCCTTGGGAAGGACTAGGGTTAGGTGGATAAAAATGCCAAATCCAGCCTAAACATCTGGCGGACTGTGTCATGAACCATAATCATGTTTGAAAGCTAACCCAAAATACATGGCACATAAATACCACCAACCAATTATGTCCGAGGAAGATATTCGCCTTGTTTCAAAGTGTCCACTGCATAACAGTATTTACATCTTGATTATTTAAAATACATATACTTATTACTTTCCTTTAGTTTGACCCCCTTCTGATGTCTGCCATTACAAAACTGAAATATTTATTCCAATGTCACCGGAAAAACCAATCTAGAACAATGGAGTTAAATGCCATCAAAAGGATTCTTGTTGGTAAATATATCTAGACCAGCGAGAATTGCAAATCTGGGCTTTCCTTTCTCTTTCTGCCTTATTTTATTTTCTTGCTCATTCTCCCCAGATCAGTAGCGTTTCACTTCGTTTATCACAGAAATCCAATTTCTACATTTCACAATTCAATTGTTTCCATGTGAAGAAAAACAACAAAACATGCAGCTTTTTTTAAAAAGCAGAATATAAATGCCTTATATTTAAACCAAGTCCTGCTTGGTTATGATTGTGTGGTCCTACCAAACTAATGAAAAGACATACTGTAACTTCTGTTCTTAGACAATCGGATCTGCAGTTCTTCACACTATGGTACAGGACAAGTTCACACATGCACAATTACCCAGTATTAGGTGAATACTAGTATGCGTATATATTTATACATGCACATACAAACAGACATA